ATAAAATATAAATAATATTATTTAATATTATTTTAAAAAATTTAATAATATAATAAATAAATAATTATAATTTATATAATAAAATAAAAAATATTATTAAATATATATTATAATATAATAATTATTAATAATTTATTTATATAATATTATTTATAATATTAAAAATTTTATATATTTATAATAAATTAATAAAAAATTTTAAATATAAATTATATAATATTTTTATATAAATTTTAATAATAAAAAAATAATAATTTAATATTTAATATAAAAATATTAAAAATATATTAATAAATTAATATTATAATTTTATTTATTTTTATTTTTAATATATTTTTTAAAAATTATTATTAATATATATAATAAATATATTTATTAAATAAATAAAATTATATTTTATATTATTAAAATTTATAAAAATAATAAAAATATATAATTAAATATTAATATATTTTAATATATATTTATTAAAATATAAATATAATTATATAATAAATATAATAATAAAAAAATAAATATAATTATAAATATTTATAATTAAAAATTATAAATAAATTTTTTTATTTATAATAATATTATAATATATTTTTAATATATAATATTATTTAAAATAAATTATATAAAATAAAAATTATATTATATTATATTTTTTTTAAAAATAATAAATTTTATTATATAAATTAATATTAATATATTATTTAAAAAAATTTATATATTTAATTTAATAAATTTAATAATTTAATATTTATATTTTATATATTTAATATATAAAATTATTTAAATTAAATATAAATATTATAATAAATATATATTATTATTTTAAATAAAAAATAATTATTAAAATAATAAAAAATTATTATATATATTTTATTTAATAATATATTAATAAATAATTAAATAATAATTTAAATTTAATATTATATATAATATATTAATTATAAATAAAATAAATAATATATAATAATTAATAATTTAAATTAAATAAATAAAATATAATTTAATATTATTTAATAATTTTTAATTTAATAATAATTAATATATAATTATATAATATTTAATTATTAAATAAAAAAATATATTTTATATATTTTATAAATTTTTATATAAATTATTTTATTTAATATATTATTTAAATATAAAATAATTAATTCTATATAATTATAATATAATTAAAAAAAATTTATTATATATTATATAATAATAATATAAAATAAATTATTATATTTAAATTTATATATTAATTATAATATAATAATTAAAATATAATAATTTTTTATATAATAAATATTTTTTTTTTTATATTAATTATAAATTATTTTATAAAAAATTAATTTATATTTTATAAATAATAATAAAATATATATTATAATAAAATTATTAATAATTTTAATAATTTATTATTATAAAAATAATTAATATATAAATATTTATTATTAATAAAATTAAAAAATTATAAAATAATATAAAATAATATATAAATTTAATATTTATATTTTATTTTTAAAATTATTTTAAAAATATAATTAAAAATAATTAAATAAATATATAAAATTTTAAAAATAAATATATAAAATTAATTAAAATATTATTAAATTTAAATTATATTAATTAAATATTAAAATTTTAATAATAATAATTAATATATTTTATAAATTATTTTAATTTATTTAATATATAAATAATAATATTAAAAAAAATATATTATATAATATTTAATTTAATAAAATTATATAAATTTTAATTATATTTAATAAAATAATAAATTTATTTAAAATAAATTAATTATTATATTTAAAATTAATTAAATTTATATTTAAATAAAATATATAATAATATAATTATATTTTAAAAAAATATAAATTTAATTTATTATTATAAAAATTTAAATTTAATAAAATAAAATATATTATTAAATTAAATTATAAAATAAATTATTAAAATTTTTTTATATTAAAAATATTTATAAATAATATAATTAAATTAATATATATAAATAAATTTATAATATTAAAATTAATTAAAAAAAAAAATTAAAATTAATAATAATAAAATAAAAATATATTAATTAAATTATAAATATAATTAAAATATAAATATAATAAAATATTTAAAATTTTAATAAATTATAATATTATTATTATTATATTATTTTTATATATTTATTTTAAAAATTAATTTATTAATTTAAATAAATTATAAATAAAATTTATTAAATTAATAAATAATTTAATATATATTATTATAAAAATATTATATATTTATTTTATAAATTAATAATATATTAATATAATATTATATTAATTAATAAAATATTATAAATATAAATATTATAATTAATAAAATAATAAATTTTTAATTATTTTTTTTTTTTTAAAAATAATAAAAATTATAATTAAAATAATATAATATAATATAATTAAAAATATTATTTAAATTTATATATTTATATTTTATAAAAAATTAATAAATAAATAAATATTTAAAAAATATTAAAATTATTAAATAATAATATAATAAATTAAAATATTATATTTTATTTTAATTATATATAAATTAAATAAAAATTATTATAATTATATATAATATTTAAAAATTAATATTTAAAATTAATTTTTTATTTATTATATTTAAATTTTATATATATATTAATAAAAATAATAAATTTAATAAAATAAATAATATATAATATTTTTTTTATAAATAAATTATTTTATTAATTTTTTTTTTAATTATAAAATATTAAATATATATTTTATTTTATATAAATAAATATATAAAAATAAAAATATTATTAAAAAATAATAATAAAAATTATAATATATTTTTAAATTATAAATAATAATTAATTTAAATAATAATTATTTAATATATAAATATTAAAATAATTTTTATTTATAAAATTATAATAATATATAAAAAAATTTAATTATATTAAATAATATTTAAAAATATAATTTAAATAAATATTTTATAATTAAATATTAATAAATTTATTATTTTATAAATAAATTAAAATAAAAAAATTATTTTAAAATATATAATTATATTATATTAATATTTATTTATATATATTATTTTATTAAAAATTATTAATATTTATTATTTATTAAAAAAAAATAAAAAATAATATTAATTTTAATTAATAAAATAATAATATAAAATTTTAAATATTTATATTAAATTAAAAAAATATATTAATTTATTTATTATAAAAATATATTTAAATTAATATTATTAAATTTATTATTTAAATTTTTTTAATTAAAAATATAATAATATATATTTAAAATAAATATAAAAAATTATTTATATAAATAATATTAATAATTTAAATTTTAAATATATAATAATAAAAAATTTATATAAAAATTAAAATAAAAAATTAATATATTATATATTATAATATATTAAAATAATATAATAAAATAATATAAAATAATTTATTATAATATATATATTTTAAATATATTTAAATAATTATTAAAATTAATTAAAATATAATAATATTATATAATATAAATATAATTTTTAATATTTTATTTATAATTATATATTTATAAAATTTAAATAAAATATAAATAATATATTATTATATAATAATTTTTATATAATATATAAATATAATAATTATTTTTTATAAAAAAATTAATAAAAATATAATATTAAATACTATTAAAATAAAATTAATATAAAATTATTATATTTAATTTTATATTAAATATATATATTATTATATATTTAATAAAATAAAATATATTAAATAATAATATATAATATATTTAATATATAAAATAATAATATAATATATTTAAAAAATATTATTAATATAATATAATAAATAAAATTAAATAATATATAAAAAAAAATTTAATTTAAAATATTAAATATAATTATAATAATATAATTATTTATTTATTTATTATAATATATTAATTATATAATATAAATTAAATAAAATAAAAATATAATATAAATATAATATAAATAATATAATAATATATATATAATTAAATTATAATATTAATAATAAAATAAAATTAAATTAATTTTTAAATATAATTTTTTAAATAAATATTATAATATATAATTTAATTAAATTAATAATTAATATTATAAATAATTAAAAAAAATATATTTTATATAAATATATAAATTAATAAATTAAATAATTAAATATTATAAATAAAATTAAATTAAATATATTATTTTTTAATTAATAAAAATTTTTATTAAAAATAAATTTAAATATTAAATATTATATAATTTAAAAAAATATATTATATATATATTTTTTAATTATATTAAAATAAATTTTTATTATTTATATATATTTATTAATATATATTTAATTATAAAAAAATTAAATATTTAAAAATAATATAAAACACATGCGGCAGTTCAAAGTCATTGAGCATAAACTGGGTGAATTGGTCGTATTTTTAGGCTATGAGGAGGAGTACCAACGCAGAGGCAGGAGACCACAGACAGCGGGCCGGAAGAACCGCCAGACAGAGGCAGGAGAACCCAGACAGAGGCCAGGAGAACCTCAGACAGCGGCCCGGCGAGAACCACAGACAGGGGCAGGGCGAACCCACAGACAGGGCAGGAGAACCACAGACAGAGGCCAGGACAGAACCACAGACAGAGGCAGGCAGAACCACAGGACAGAGGCAGGAGAACCACCAAGACAGAGGCAGTGAGAACCACAGACAGAGTGCAGCGGAGAACCACAGACAGAGGCCAAGAGAACCACGACAGCGGCAGGGGGCCCCCGACAGAGGCAGGAGAACCACAGACAGAGGCAGCGAGCCACAGCCGCGGCGGAGACCACAGACAGAGGCAGGAGAACCACAGACAGCGGCAGGAGACCACAGAACAGAGGCAGGAGCACCACAGCCAGCGGCCGGGAGAACCCACTGACAAGGAGGCCGGAGAGACCACAGCCGAGCTGGCAAGAACCACCGACAGAGGCAGGATGAAACCACAGACAGAGGCAGGAGAATCCACAGACAGAGGCAGCGCGAACCACAGACACGGCCGGAGCAACCCTGAAGAGGCAAGAGCCACCAGACCGAGGCAGGAGAACCACAGACAGAGGCAGGCGGAGACCAAGACAGAGTGGACAGGAGAACCACAGACAGAGCACTAGGAGAACACCAGACAGAGGAGGAGAACAAGCCAGCGGCAGAACCACAGACAGAGGCAGGAGAAACCACAGACAGAGGCAGGAGAACCACAGACAGCGGCAGGAGAACCACAGACAGAGGCAGAAGCCCACCCAGACAGAGGCAGGGAAGGAGCACCACAGGACAGAGGCAGGAGAAACAGACAAGAGGCAGGAGAACCAAGACAGAGGCAGGAGAGGTTCTCCTCTGTCTGTGGTTCTCCTGCCTCTGTCTGTGGTTCTGCCTCTGTCTGTGGTTCTCCTGCCTCTGTCTGTGGTTCTCCTTCCTCTGTCTGTGGTTCAGCTGCCTCTGTCTGTGGTTCTGCCTCTGTCTGTGGTTCTCCTGCCTCTGTCTGTGGTTCAGCTGCCTCTGTCTGTGGTTCTGCCTCTGTCTGTGGTTCTCCTGCCTCTGTCTGTGGTTCTCCTGCCTCTGTCTGTGGTTCTCCTGCCTCTGTCTGTGGTTCTCCTGCCTCTGTCTGTGGTTCTCCTTCCTCTGTCTGTGGTTCTCCTGCCTCTGTCTGTGGTTCTCCTGCCTCTGTCTGTGGTTCTCCTGCCTCTGTCTGTGGTTCTCCTGCCTCTGTCTGTGGTTCTGCCTCTGTCTGTGGTTCTCCTGCCTCTGTCTGTGGTTCTCCTCTGTCTGTGGTTCTCCTGCCTCTGTCTGTGGTTCTGCCTCTGTCTGTGGTTCTCCTGCCTCTGTCTGTGGTTCTCTTGCCTCTGTCTGTGGTTCTCCTGCCTCTGTCTGTGGTTCTCCTGCCTCTGTCTGTGGTTCTCCTGCCTCTGTCTGTGGTTCTCTTGCCTCTGTCTGTGGTTCTCCTGCCTCTGTCTGTGGTTCTCCTGCCTCTGTCTGTGGTTCTCCTGCCTCTGTCTGTGGTTCAGCTGCCTCTGTCTGTGGTTCTGCCTCTGTCTGTGGTTCTCCTGCCTCTGTCTGTGGTTCTCCTGCCTCTGTCTGTGGTTCTCCTGCCTCTGTCTGTGGTTCTCCTGCCTCTGTCTGTGGTTCTCCTTCCTCTGTCTGTGGTTCTCCTGCCTCTGTCTGTGGTTCTCCTGCCTCTGTCTGTGGTTCTCCTGCCTCTGTCTGTGGTTCTCCTGCCTCTGTCTGTGGTTCTGCCTCTGTCTGTGGTTCTCCTGCCTCTGTCTGTGGTTCTCCTCTGTCTGTGGTTCTCCTGCCTCTGTCTGTGGTTCTGCCTCTGTCTGTGGTTCTCCTGCCTCTGTCTGTGGTTCTCCTGCCTCTGTCTGTGGTTCTGCCTCTGTCTGTGGTTCTCCTGCCTCTGTCTGTGGTTCTCTTGCCTCTGTCTGTGGTTCTCCTGCCTCTGTCTGTGGTTCTCCTGCCTCTGTCTGTGGTTCTCCTGCCTCTGTCTGTGGTTCTCCTGCCTCATAGCCGTGATACTGACCAGATGTCACCAGTTGATGCTCAATGACTTTGAACAGCCGCATGTGTTTTATTATTAATCTTCCACAGTCCGTTTAGGATAAATTAAATAGAGGCTTCTGAAGCGGATTCTAATCATAAACGGAGAGACCGTTTGCATTTTAACGCGATTACTGCCACAATATTATTGCTGCTACTTCATGGATGTGGTCACTGTCTGTAGGAAATATCTTCACATAATCTGCAGGTAGAGGATGACCCATGGTCATAGATCTATAACAGGGATGACCCATGGTCATGGATCTATAACAGGGAGGACCCATGGTCATAGATCTATAACAGGGATGACCCATGGTCATGGATCTATAACAGGGAGGACCCATGGTCATGGATCTATAACAGGGAGGACCCATGGTCATGGATCTATAACAGGGAGGACCCATGGTCATGGATCTATAACAGGGAGGACCCATGGTCATGGATCTATAACAGGGAGGACCCATGGTCATGGATCTATAACAGGGAGGACCCATGGTCATGGATCTATAACAGGGAGGACCCATGGTCATGGATCTATAACAGGGAGGACCCATGGTCATGGATCTATAACAGGGAGGACCCATGGTCATGGATCTATAACAGGGAGGACCCATGGTCATGGATCTATAACAGGGAGGACCCATGGTCATGGATCTATAACAGGGAGGACCCATGGTCATGGATCTATAACAGGGATGACCCATGGTCATGGATCTATAACAGGGATGACCCATGGTCATGGATCTATAACAGGGAGGACCCATGGTCATGGATCTATAACAGGGAGGACCCATGGTCATGGATCTATAACAGGGAGGACCCATGGTCATGGATCTATAACAGGGAGGACCCATGGTCATGGATCTATAACAGGGAGGACCCATGGTCATGGATCTATAACAGGGAGGACCCATGGTCATGGATCTATAACAGGGAGGACCCATGGTCATGGATCTATAACAGGGATGACCCATGGTCATGGATCTATAACAGGGATGACCCATGGTCATGGATCTATAACAGGGAGGACCCATGGTCATGGATCTATAACAGGGAGGACCCATGGTCATGGATCTATAACAGGGATGACCCATGGTCATGGATCTATAACAGGGAGGACCCATGGTCATGGATCTATAACAGGGATGACCCATGGTCATGGATGTTTTCAACTGCGCATGTGCAGTTGAAAACTCGTATAACTCGTTATTTTGACTTTTAAAGTCGCAATTTTGAGTTTTAAAGTCAAAATTTTAACTTTCTGTAGGCTTTTTTTTTTTTTTACATGGCGGAAACGGTCTTCCATAAGCTGGAGCCAATATCCATATATGGGCATTTGTTTTGATGGCGTTAGCGTCGTGCCGTAGCAGGGGCAGATGTAGTTATAGACGTGTTTAAATGCTGAGGTAACTTCAAAGGAAAACCATTTGCAAACATAGACAATATTTGACACAATTTAAAACACAGTCACACGTTATTTGTGCGAACACAACACAACAATGTTATTATCTTGTATTTTAACATTAGACTGATCCTGTTTTTAGCCTCATTCTTAATAAAGTCAATAAAGTAGTAGAATAACTTGATGCAGCACTGGTACTAGTCTAAAATAAATGATAAAAAGGACTTGTTATAACTCAGTACATTACTTAAACATAGATTTTTTTCAGCTTGTTTTAGTTTTACACTGTTAAAAAAAGGGTCAATGTATTTATTTACCATTTTCTGTCCTTTTTGCTCAAACACATGTTGAGTTGAAATCCTATTCTAAGCCTGCGTTTGGAAATGTTTTATTAGAATTATTCTTGACTGTCTCCGTCTCTGCGTCTCTTTGACGTCTTTCCAAACTGAGCCGACTCCAAAGAGCGACAGACACTGAAGGTTCATTCTGTAAATGAAAGAAAGTTTATCTCGGTCTGGATCAGGTCTGGTCCTGCCGTGGTCCAGGTGTAGCAGTCTGGTCCGGTTTCAGGATTACGTCAGAGGATCAGCCGTAACCCGGGGAAACCGATGCTATCAGAGTCGCTACGGAAACGAGGATTTCCTCTGGATCTGAAACAACACCGAGCGGGAACCGGACTTTTTAGGGAATTTCAAGGACAAAGAAAAATGTTTCCCCTTTTCCTCCAAGAAGCTGGTCCTGGACTGGTGCTAGTGCTAGTTACCATAGCAACACACTGTATACATGCTAGCAGTTAGCATTTAGCCTTTCACCAAACTGTTTTTTACGGGAATTCAAGTTATAGTCACCAGTTTTAGACCAGTTTTAGAAGTATTTAAAGTGAGTAAAGGTAAAAAATAATAATAATAATTCTAAAATATCCGTATAAAACTACTGTACCACTTTACTCTGTTTTTTGTAATTTTTTTCATTCAATTCAATGTATTTTTGTTTTGCCCTAAATCACAACATGTGGTCAGTTGTGGGGGTCCGGGGGTGATGTGGTCAGTTGTCGGAGTACGGGGGTGATGTGGTCAGTTGTTGGAGTACGGGGGTGATGTGGTCAGTTGTTGGAGTACGGGGGTGATGTGGTCAGTTGTTGGGGTCCGGGGGTGATGTGGTCAGTTGTCGGAGTACGGGGGTGATGTGGTCAGTTGTTGGAGTACGGGGGTGATGTGGTCAGTTGTTGGGGTACGGGGGTGATGTGGTCAGTTGTTGGGGTCCGGGGGTGATGTGGTCAGTTGTTGGGGTACGGGGGTGATGTGGTCAGTTGTTGGGGTACGGGGGTGATGTGGTCAGTTGTTGGGGTACGGGGGTGATGTGGTCAGTTGTTGGAGTACGGGGGTGATGTGGTCAGTTGTTGGGGTCCGGGGGTGATGTGGTCAGTTGTTGGAGTACGGGGGTGATGTGGTCAGTTGTTGGGGTACGGGGGTGATGTGGTCAGTTGTTGGAGTACGGGGGTGATGTGGTCAGTTGTTGGGGTCCGGGGGTGATGTGGTCAGTTGTTGGAGTACGGGGGTGATGTGGTCAGTTGTTGGGGTCCGGGGGTGATGTGGTCAGTTGTTGGGGTACGGGGGTGATGTGGTCAGTTTTTGGGGTACGGGGGTGATGTGGTCAGTTGTTGGAGTACGGGGGTGATGTGGTCAGTTGTTGGGGTACGGGGGTGATGTGGTCAGTTGTTGGGGTACGGGGGTGATGTGGTCAGTTGTTGGAGTACGGGGGTGATGTGGTCAGTTGTTGGGGTACGGGGGTGATGTGGTCAGTTGTTGGGGTACGGGGGTGATGTGGTCAGTTGTTGGGGTCCGGGGGTGATGTGGTCAGTTGTTGGAGTACGGGGGTGATGTGGTCAGTTGTTGGAGTACGGGGGTGATGTGGTCAGTTGTTGGGGTCCGGGGGTGATGTGGTCAGTTGTTGGAGTACGGGGGTGATGTGGTCAGTTGTTGGGGTACGGGGGTGATGTGGTCAGTTGTTGGGGTACGGGGGTGATGTGGTCAGTTGTTGGAGTACGGGGGTGATGTGGTCAGTTGTTGGAGTACGGGGGTGATGTGGTCAGTTGTTGGAGTACGGGGGTGATGTGGTCAGTTGTTGGGGTCCGGGGGTGATGTGGTCAGTTGTTGGAGTACGGGGGTGATGTGGTCAGTTGTTGGGGTACGGGGGTGATGTGGTCAGTTGTTGGGGTACGGGGGTGATGTGGTCAGTTGTTGGAGTACGGGGGTGATGTGGTCAGTTGTTGGGGTACGGGGGTGATGTGGTCAGTTGTTGGAGTAAGGGGGTGATGTGGTCAGTTGTTGGGGTACGGGGGTGATGTGGTCAGTTGTTGGGGTACGGGGGTGATGTGGTCAGTTGTTGGGGTACGGGGGTGATGTGGTCAGTTGTTGGGGTCCGGGGGTGATGTGGTCAGTTGTTGGAGTACGGGGGTGATGTGGTCAGTTGTTGGAGTACGGGGGTGATGTGGTCAGTTGTTGGGGTCCGGGGGTGATGTGGTCAGTTGTTGGAGTACGGGGGTGATGTGGTCAGTTGTTGGGGTACGGGGGTGATGTGGTCAGTTGTTGGGGTACGGGGGTGATGTGGTCAGTTGTTGGAGTACGGGGGTGATGTGGTCAGTTGTTGGGGTACGGGGGTGATGTGGTCAGTTGTTGGAGTACGGGGGTGATGTGGTCAGTTGTTGGAGTACGGGGGTGATGTGGTCAGTTGTTGGGGTAGGGGGGTGATGTGGTCAGTTGTTGGAGTACGGGGGTGATGTGGTCAGTTGTTGGGATCCGGGGGTGATGTGGTCAGTTGTTGGAGTACGGGGGTGATGTGGTCAGTTGTTGGAGTACGGGGGTGATGTGGTCAGTTGTTGGGGTACGGGGGTGATGTGGTCAGTTGTTGGAGTACGGGGGTGATGTGGTCAGTTGTTGGAGTACGGGGGTGATGTGGTCAGTTGTTGGGGTACGGGGGTGATGTGGTCAGTTGTTGGAGTTCGGGGGTGATGTGGTCAGTTGTTGGGATCCGGGGGTGATGTGGTCAGTTGTTGGAGTACGGGGGTGATGTGGTCAGTTGTTGGGATCCGGGGGTGATGTGGTCAGTTGTTGGAGTACGGGGGTGATCAATCAATCAATCAATCTTTATTTATAGGGCGCTTTTCCTGCACAGGGCAACACAAAGCGCCTCACAGTCCACACCACACAATGCACAAATCATCACCATTAAAATACAATTAAAAACACATATGTAATTAAAAAGCATTAAAATCACATAAGTAATTTAAAAACATAAAAATCACACAAGTAATTAAAAACAATAAAATAGTTAAAAACACAAAAAGTTACAACAATAAATAACAAGGTGTGTTAAAAAGATAAAATTCTCTAGTTGTATGCACGGGAAAAAAGAAAAGTCTTTAACATGGATTTGAACATTGACAGAGAGGCAGCCAGTCTCACATCCTCAGGAAGACCGTTCCAGACTCCAGCTGCATAAATCTGAAAAGCAGCCTCCCCCTGTCTAGTCCTGACTCTGGGCACTAACAGGAGTCCCGTCCCTGCGCTCCTCAGAGTCCGGGCTGGCATATCATGGATGTACTTTGGTGCAAGGCCATGGAGAGACTTGTACACCAGGAGAGCTGCTTTAAAGTCTATCCTCTGGGCCACGGAAGCCAGTGCAGAGACCTGAGGACCGGACTAATGTGGTCGTACTTCCTGGTTCTAGTCAGGACTCGGGCTGCAGCATTTTGAATATACTGCAACTGTCTTACTGCATGTTTGGAGATACCTGTGAGCAGGCCATTGCAGTAATCCAGCCTACTGGAAACAAAAGAATGGATAAGAATCTCCAAGTCTGCCCTGGACACAATATTTTTAATTTTGGCAATATTTTTCAGATGATAAAAAGCTGCTGATGTTACCGATCCAATGTGGCTATTGAAGTTTAAGTCAGAGTCCATTATTACTCCCAGATCTCTGACCTTATTTAAAGGCCTTAGGGAGAGAGACTGAAGGTGACAAATGACGGTCTCTCTTTGTTTCTCGGGACCAAAGACAATCATTTCGGTTTTGTCCGCATTTAGCTGGAGAAAATTGCATTGCATCCACTCACTGATCCGCTGGATACAGCGAAGGAGTGAGTCCACCGGCCCATGCTCTCCTGCAGTCAGTGAGACATAGATCTGAGTGTCATCAGCGTAATTGTGGTAGGACACTTTCATACTTTGAATTAACTGACCTAATGGCAGCATGTAAATATTGAACAGGAGAGGTCCCAGAATCGACCCCTGTGGCACTCCGCAGGTCAGGGCCATATTATCTGAGACATAGTTTCCAATCTCCACACAGTACTTCCTTTCTTCTAGATAGGACCTAAACCAGCTTAGGGCGGTACCAGCAACACCAACCCAGTCCTCCAGTCTCTGCATGAGAATCTCATGGTCAACGGTGTCGAAAGCGGCACTCAGATCTAACATGACTAAAACAGAGACTTTTCCTGCATCAGTGTTAAGCCGAATATCATTTGTTACCTTGACTAGAGCGGTCTCAGTACTGTGGTGTGGTCTAAAGCCAGACTGAAACATGTCAAATGAGTCATTAGATATTAAAAATTCAGTAAGTTGTTGGTAGGCAACTTTTTCAAGAATTTTTCCCATGAAAGGCAGATTTGAGATGGGACGGTAATTTTCAAGTACCGCAGCATCCAAACTGCTCTTTTTTAGGAGGGGCCTAATGACTGCCTTTTTCAGGGCCATTGGACATGTTCCAGATAAAAAAGACATGTTTACTATTTGTGTCAATGAGGGTAATAGACTACACATAACAGACTTCAGAAATCTAGGAGGTAGTACATCCAGACTGCAGGTAGAGGAACTAAGACCTGTGATTATCTTTTTAACAGTTTCATCATTGACAGGTGCAAATTGAGCTAGCTCACAAAGCCTCACTGGATGTTGCATTGTTACTTGTGTTGTAGAGGTGATGGCATTTCTGATACCCTGAACCTTGTCTCTGAAGAACTGTGCAAACTCATTACACCTGGATTTGGAGTAGTGTTCTAATGGCAACTCAACAGGGGGGTTCGTTAATCTATTGATTGTTGAAAATAGAACACGCAGATTGTTGCTGCAGCCTTCAATAGTTTCAGAAAAGTATGGTAAGATGTGGTCAGTTGTTGGAGTACGGGGGTGATGTGGTCAGTTGTTGGGGTACGGGGGTGATGTGGTCAGTTGTTGGAGTACGGGGGTGATGTGGTCAGTTGTTGGAGTACGGGGGTGATGTGGTCAGTTGTCGGAGTACGGGGGTGATGTGGTCAGTTGTTGGAGTACGGGGGTGATGTGGTCAGTTGTTGGGGTACGGGGGTGATGTGGTCAGTTTTGGGGTACGGGGGTGATGTGGTCAGTTGTTGGGGTACGGGGGTGATGTGGTCAGTGTGTTGGAGTACGGGGGTGATGTGGTCAGTTGTTGGGTCGGGGTGATGTGGTCAGTTGTTGGAGTACGGGGGTGATGTGGTCAGTTGTTGGAGTACGGGGGTGATGTGGTCAGTTGTTGGAGTACGGGGGTGATGTGGTCAGTTGTTGGAGTACGGGGGTGATGTGGTCAGTTGTTGGGGTACGGGGGTGATGTGGTCAGTTGTTGGGGTACGGGGGGGGTCAGTTGTTGGATACGGGGTGATGTGGTCAGTTGTTGGGGTACGGGGGTGATGTGGTCAGTTGTTGGAGTACGGGGGTGATGTGGTCAGTTGTTGGGATCCGGGGGTGATGTGGTCAGTTGTCGGAGTACGGGGGTGATGTGGTCAGTTGTTGGGATCCGGGGGTGATGTGGTCAGTTGTCGGAGTACGGGGGTGATGTGGTCAATTGTTGGAGTACGGGGGTGATGTGGTCAGTTGTTGGGGTCCGGGGGTGATGTGGTCAGTTGTTGGGGTACGGGGGTGATGTGGTCAGTTGTTGGGGTCCGGGTGAAGATGCGACCTGCAGAGTATGTCCTGCATCACCACTGTCCTTTTAGAGTTCCATGTTTTTGAAGCAGTCAAAGAATCTGCTGTAAATACATGGAATAATGTATTTATAAATAAAGATTACTTATTACTCACTAAATGACGGCTCTGGGGGTTCAGGGGTTCAGTGTTTTGGGCCAAAATGCAAACAAAAATCTTACTGTTGTGCTATTGTCAAACTATTGCACATTTCTGTTTCCTCTCTCCACCTGCTCCTCTCACTGTCGTCTCGTGTCAGATTGCCCGAGTGTTTGGTCCCTCCCGAAAATCTGAAAAATGTGTAGGGGTGCCCAAACTTTTGCACTCCACTGTAAGCTAGCTGGAGCCAACTACCTTATATGGGCATTTGTTTTGACGGCGTTAGCGTCGTGCCGTACCAGAGGCAGATGTATTTATGATTGTGTTAAAATGCTGCGGTTACTTTTAAGGAAAAGTATTTGCAAAACACAGTCACACACAAAAATAAGTTATTAACCTAGATTTTAACGTTTTCAGTCACGAGGCAAGTCTCACATTTTCAGGTAGACTGTTCCTGTTTTGAGCCTCATTCTTAATAAAGTAGATATAGTCATAGAATAACTTGAAACAGCACTGGTACTGGTCTCATTATTGTCTCATTTTGGATCTAAAATCTAAAAAGGACTTGTTATAACTCAGTACAGTGCTTTAATACAGACTTACTTTAGTGCTATTGTCAAACTATTGCACATTTCTGTTTTCACGGTTCTTCTTTCCACCCTCCTGCTCCTCTCACTGTCGTCTAGTGTCAGATTGCTCGTGTGTTTTGTCCCTCCCGGGCTCCGGTAGAGACGGGCTGTAATTTGCATGGCTGTGTTTTAACAGCTGTAGCTCCTTCTGTGCTGACGTGACGCCGCTCTGCACCTAAGTCAATTATGCTAATGCTAATGCTAATGCTAGTTTAAAACCGTCACGGACAAGAACAACACTGAGCTCACATGTTTTTGTCTCACGGCCATTTCTCAACTTTTCCTCCAAACCTGGACTTTTGCTAAAGACCAGTTTATCGTACGACAGATTTAATAAGTTGTTAGTCCTCGTGAGTGGGTTGTGAATTGTGATAATTTTCTTAACTTTTCTGACGGAGATTCCAGTTTTTCTCATGTTTTTGCTCCACCTCCAAATGTTTTGATGAAGAAAACATTTATTTAAACATATATTGATTGTGAAGTAGAGCAGAAAATAACCTTAATTATGGAGTAAATGTCTTATTCTGATTCGTGTGTAGCAGCTGCTTAAGTTTAATGCATATGAAAAGAGAGACGTTTATAAGTTTAGCTTCTGCCTTTCCTTTTCCATCTACTGCTGTTTATACCACTTTCACTCTCTCTTCTTCTTCTTCTGAGATATTTACACAGAGATTATACGTGAGTTGAGTTGAAGCCAGAACTGATGGTTAAAATGAAGTTTATTGTGTCCATTTCATAAAGTCATTAAACGTGAGACAATCCCACCCACTATCCTCATAACCTCCTCTGTCCATGAGGCTTTTCACTTTGTATTTTAACTGTTTTTAAAAATGCACTTTTTTACTTGTATGTACGGCGACCTTGATTGTCACCTTACAAGTGTCTAATTACTATCATTAATTACATTGTTATTAACCGTTATTGTTACAATTACTATTATTTTACACATAACAAACTTTACAATTGTCGCACTTATCAAATCAGTCCGTACCTTGTTCCCTCGATCTCATCTGTAGCTAAACTTTGTGGTTTCTTTTATGCCATATATGGGCTGTTTCCTGTTCATGACTGGAGCGTTTGTAAAGTCCATACACTGTGAAACGTCTCTACGTCTGATGTTGCGCGAGCCGCTTGACTTCCTGTTGAGACAGGAAGTGTCAAAATAAAACAGTTTCTATTGATATTAATACATCAACCTTTACAGAGGACTTTTAAACATTATAAATTCTGTTTGATGGATAAATCTTTCATGTAATTGATGAACTACTCATCAATTCTGTTGGTCAAATGTTTGTGGCGTTGCGGGACACAAAAACAGAATAAACATTAATCCGGACCTGACTATAAACCGCAGCCTTTGAAATGCAAGAAGAAAGCTGCGGCTTATAGTCAGAAGAATACGGTACAATATAATTGTTGTATTAGTTGTCGACACAGTTGTGTTTCTGAGCAGGTGAAGTGTGGATGTAGACGAAAGTTTATCATTCTAACTTCTTCAGGTTTCTGAGAACCTAGAACCTGACAGAGAACCTGACAGAGAACCTGACAGAGAACCTGACTGAGAACCTGACTGAAAACCTAACAGAGAACCTGACTGAGAACCTAGAACCTGACAGAGAACCTGACAGAGAACCTAACAGAGAACCTGACTGAGAACCTAGAACCTGACAGAGAACCTACAGAGAACCTGACAGAGAACCTGACAGAGAACCTGACTGAGAACCTGACTGAGAACCTGACAGAGAACCTGACAGAGAACCTGACAGAGAACCTGACAGAGAACCTGACAGAGAACCTGACAGAGAACCTGACAGAGAACCTGACAGAGAACCTGACTGAAAACCTAACAGAGAACCTGACAGAGAACCTGACAGAGAACCTGACAGAGAACCTGACAGAGAACCTGACAGAGAACCTGACAGAGAACCTGACTGAGAACCTGACAGAGAACCTGACAGAGAACCTGACAGAGAACCTTTCCTGCCACAAACTCTGCTCCCTTCCTTCCCGCTCTGACTCCGCTGTGCTGCTGCTCTGATTGGTCAGAACGCTGTCCTCTGATTGGTCAGAGCGCGGCTGAGCCCCTCTGTGAGCGTGCATGAGAGCCACACACGCGTATTTGACGCAAAGCATCATGGGAGATCATCCACTGCACAGAACTGGGAGGACCAGACGATGCCCAAATATGGGCGAGTTCAGCTAATCTCCCGGTCTCCATGAAGTCCCGTGAACTACTGAGCACAGGCCGTTCATTTGAACAGGACGCCATCTTGGATCACCGGGGCTCGATCACATTCACTCTCGCTGGTTTGGTTTGTGTCATTTCGAACATGGGTCTGTTTCCTACTGACCTCCCTCCTCCTCCTCCTCCTCCTCCTCCTCCTCCTCCTCCTCCTCCTCCTCCTCCTCCTCCTCCTCTTCCTCCTCCTCCTCCTCCTCTTCCTCCTCCTCCTCCTCCTCCTCCTCCTCTTCCTCCTCTCCTCCTCCTCCTCCTCCTCCTCTTCCTCCTCCTCCTCCTCCTCTTCCTCCTCCTCCTCCTCCTCCTCCTCCTCCTCCTCCTCCTCCTCTTCCTCCTCCTCCTCTTCCTCCTCCTCCTCCTCCTCCTCCTCCTCCTCCTCCTCCTCCTCCTCCTCCTCCTCGTCCTCCTCCTCCTCCTCCTCCTCCTCCTCCTCTTCCTCCTCCTCCTCCTCCTCCTCCTCCTCTTCCTCCTCCTCCTCCTCCTCCTCCTCTTCCTCCTCCTCCTCCTCCTCCTCTTCCTCCTCCTCCTCTTCCTCCTCCTCCTCCTCCTCCTCCTCCTCTTCCTCCTCCTCCTCTTCCTCCTCTTCCTCCTCTTCCTCCTCCTCCTCCTCCTCTTCCTCCTCCTCCTCCTCCTCTTCCTCCTCCTCCTCCTCCTCCTCCTCCTCCCCCACTGTTGGTCCACAGCTGCTCACCAGAGACTTCCCACGGTTCACCGGGTTTTTGACGTTCTATAAGGGAACTCCCAAACCACTCGGTCTAATTGTTTTTGGCCTGGGATGGAATGGAATGGAACAGAGGCGAAGTAGAAACAGCCCCAAGACTTAAATGTGTGTAGGATTATTTCATGTGAAGCAGAAATGGACTGGAACCAAAACCCACCAGAACAGCCGGTCATTCATAGTTGTTATTTTAGTTATTTTGGTGCTGCTTCAGAGGTGAGACGTTGGGCTGATGTAGTTTCCCAGTGAGGGTTGGGGGTTCAAATCTTACTAACCAAAATGTTTCTTTATCATGGTGTTATGATCCAAAGGACAGAACATATTCCAGGACACAGAGACAGATTGACAGTTAAAAAAACATATTCATTTATATTATAATTATTTGTTTTAGAGTAGGGGCGACAGTGGCTCAGTTGGTAGAGCATTGGCCTTTGAGCCTGGAGGTCATGGGTTCGAGCCCAACGTAAGACCTACATCATGACTCCGACTGATGTCTGCTGTCGTTGTGTCCTTGGGCAAAACACTTAACCCCACTTTGCCTGAAGCCCCCACTGAAAGATCTCAGCTCCTGTGGACTCAGCACCTGCAGGAGGATCAGTGAGGGGCTGGTGCTCTGTGGACTGGGTCTGACTGCCACCCCCCCAACCCAGAAATGGATTAAGGGGAAGAAAATGGATGGATGGATTTGTTTTAGTTTCTGTCCCCAGCTGCAAAATATCCAAAATGCAGATTGCAAAAAGTTGTCAAAAATTTTTACCAAAAATGTGAACTATAAAAAACAATCTTACAAAATATCATAGAACCTAAAAAGACCTGGACAAAAAGGCCAGATCTAAAAGGTGCCGAGACATAACAAAGGGTTTATTGTGTTTTCTTTGACTGTAGTGAAGGGTTGGGGTTCGCAGCGCTGGGCCTGGCTGCTGGGAGGGGTGACCCTGTGTCCTTAAGCAAGACACTCCACCCTCTGTGCCCTCTGTGAATGAGAGATGAGAGACAGACTTTAAACTATTGACTATAATTATGATAAACTAAACAGCCCTTATCACATACAGACCAAACTGTTTATTGCAGGGGTCTCCAATCTGTAGCTCGGGAGCCACCAGTAGCTCGCCACCCCTTTCAGGTAGCTCTCCAAAGGATTTAGAAATGAACAAATCAAATAATATACTGAATATTTTACAATGATTTATTCCTTATCATTATTTATTATGAACTTACTTTGTCACAGTAACATGTGATGATCAATAATGACTATACCTGATATCAGACGTGTTCACGCCACGAGCCGCTTAGAGGAGTAGCTCTCTGCCTTTATTGTCCCGGGAAAGTAGCTCTCTGTGTAAAAAGGTTGGAGATTGTACGGATGCAGTGAAGAGGAGATGCTTTGGTTGTGGAGAGAGAGAAGCAGCAGATTTATTGTGATATAACTTTAGACGCAGCTGTTGAAGTGAGGCTGTGTGCTCTCTGTACCTGTGTGCTCTCTGTACCTGTGCGCTCTGTGTACCTGTGCGCTCTGTGTACCTGTGTGCTCTGTGTACCTCTGTGCTCTGTGTACCTGTGTGCTCTGTGTGTACCTGTGTGCTCTGTGTACCTGTGCGCTCTGTGTACCTGTGTGCTGTGTGTACCTGTGTGCTCTGTGTACCTGTGCGCTCCGTGTACCTGTGTGCTCTCTGTACCTGTGCGCTCTGTGTACCTGTGTGCTGTGTGTACCTGTGTGCTCTGTGTACCTGTGCGCTCCGTGTACCTGTGTGCTCTCTGTACCTGTGCGCTCTCTGTACCTGTGCGCTCTGTGTACCTGTGCGCTCTGTGTACCTGTGCGCTCTGTGTACCTGTGTGCTCTCTGTACCTGTGTGCTCTGTGTACCTGTGTGCTCTGTGTACCTGTGTGCTCTGTGTACCTGTGTGCTCTGTGTACCTGTGTGCTCTGTGTACCTGTGCGCTCTCTGTACCTGTGTGCTCTCTGTACCTGTGTGCTCTGTGTACCTGTGTGCTCTGTGTACCTGTGTGCTCTGTGTGTACCTGTGTGCTCTCTGTACCTGTGCGCTCTGTGTACCTGTGTGCTCTGTGTACCTGTGTGCTCTGTGTGTACCTGTGTGCTCTGTGTACCTGTGCGCTCTGTGTACCTGTGTGCTCTCTGTACCTGTGTGCTCTCTGTACCTGTGTGCTGTGTGTACCTGTGTGCTCTGTGTACCTGTGCGCTCCGTGTACCTGTGTGCTCTCTGTACCTGTGCGCTCTGTGTACCTGTGTGCTCTGTGTACCTGTGCGCTCTCTGTACCTGTGTGCTCTCTGTACCTGTGTGCTCTCTGTACCTGTATGCTCTGTGTGCTCTCTGTACCTGTGTGCTCTCTGTACCTGTGTGCTGTG